TGTGTGTTTGCCGAGTGCTAGTAGATGCTCCTTTGTGTTTGCCACGTTAATATGTTTAAATCCCATCATTTTAATTCTCCAAGTAACTTTGTCAGTTATATTTTTACCTCATGTTGGATGAATACAAGGTACTTTATATGCTAGGCGTTCATGCCAAGTATATAAACAATGGCTAGTTTTCATTCACATTTTTCTCAGTCTTAAAATCGGTACAGGATTTTTAAATGACAATGTGGCATAAATAACTTAGCCTGAGTTTAAAACAATCGAATATGTATTACTAATGTGTTTCATTGGGTATCCCAAAATGACAGGGTTATACTCAGGCATGCACTTGAGGACATTGATGTTAGCGTTTCGCGTATGGGGCCGTGCAAGGCAGATCGGTGCCTGTTGTTGCCAGACAGCGTGGGGCTGACCCGTTATGTGCTGAAGTTGTGAATCTCCCGTAAATCTCCAAACTTTAATTTAAATATCACTTTTACTCTTTAATTTAAATATTATGCTCCTTAATTCAAATATCACCAGTAAAACGCTTCCCACGTCAAAAGGTAAAAGCTGTGCTTTTTATTTTCAGATTACAGGTTAGGCAAACCAGCTTTCCCCATCTGCCTGCCACTTTGTAGGGTGATTGGTAACAAGACACAAAGATACTGTTCTATTTTTCTCTAATCTTCCTTGCTTTATAATTTCTCCAGTGCTATTTTGTTAAGCATACTAATGGCTGTATGTCCATATTTAAAGCTCTGAACACTGTAAGCTCTATACATCAAGTATGGCTTGTGAGCTCACCTTGACATTTAATACTAATGACGTGCTTTGTAAATCCAAATGAGAGAATATGTTAAAGAAAAATTCCAAAGGGCCAAACAGTTGATGCAGATGAGACATCATCCTGAAATCAGAAATATTTGACTTTTGCTTGTGAAATAATAGTGAGCTAATTAAGGCCTATACAAACAAATTTTCATATTGATAAATTAAAGTTGGACCATGTGGTATAGTATACAGTATAGTTTTCCTCTGCTATATTAACACTAATAAAAATATTATCCACTGGCATGAGATGTGTTAATATTAATAAATTAGCTGGGCAAAGAATCTCCTCTCATTTCATATGCTCAATTAGTACACTGCATAATTAAAATCCACAGGAGCTTTTATTCTGCAGCGTGTGGAACTATTAGCTCTTCCATGACACTCTAACAGTGCTCGCTTTTAAGTAGGAAAATACATTCTTCCGAAGATGGGAGCGTTGGCTCTGGCGGCTGTTACTTTCAAACATTCCGTACGTGATTTCTCACAGGAGAGAAGACTCGTTACAGCTGCCAGGGATGCATCTTTGGGAGCACTGTCTTTCTCTGAAGTAAACTGGAGCTTGCACAAGACGATATAATTATAATTTGTGATTGGCCAAAAGTCAAGAAAAAGATTTTCATAAAATGTTCATTTTTAGTGAACTAATGAAATCAAATTTTTTCATGCTTTCTATAACATTTAACCTGTTCAGCTTACATCTGCTGGCATGTAAATATTACTTTGATGCAATTAATTCCATCTTCTAGTTACCAGTTATTACAGTTGTTTCTTAGAAAGTAAATCGAGCTGCTACCCATAGTCTAAAATCCTGATATTTTTGGATGATTTAACTGAGTATACAGTAGCTCCTAATTTTGCTTTTTATTCATATTAGCTTAGAAGAAGGGTTTAAACAGCAAGAGTTTGAATTATAATGTTGCAGTTCTCTTCCAGCTACTATGTGAGAATATATATATGAAATGGCACGTGCATGTGACTATTAAAGCACTAATTGTAAATACAAAAGACTGGAAACTACTCAAATGGCCATCAATAGGGCATTGTGGGAAAAACTATCATAAATCCTTAAAAGAGATTGCTACGGCCATGAAATAGAATGAGAAAGTCTCTATATTGCTATGGAGTGATAGTGAAGACATATTGCTAAATGAAAGAATATACATAAAGATGTGTAGTATGCTATTTTGTGTAAGAAACAAGAGAATATGTGTAGTTCTATTTTCAGAAATAAACAATGGAAATATAAAACCCAAAACTTAATAAAAATGATTACTGATGGCTTGGGGAGAGAACTAGGAGAGCAGGAATGGAAGGGAAATCTACACTTCTTTGAATGATGTTGTTTTAAGTTTTTACTCTGGAACCATGTGTTTTATGCAATTAAAAAAATATTAATTGCAAAATCGATAAAGCAAGACCTGAAAGTCAAAAATGAACTGAAACAAACTACCCTAACTGTATATCAGGTAGGTAGCATAATTAGCATAGTCACATGGAGAATTATTTCAGGTGACTTCAAAGTATAGTGTTTTGACAGTTCATCAGTGGAATAAATTCTAAGATTAAAAAGAACCATAAAGAAATTTTAAATTGTATTAATTCATCTTGTTGGTAATAGTAATGTTTGCCTTATTATTTTGAAATTAATACATACTCAATTCACATATATAGGAAAAACAATCATGTGCTTTTGATCATTATCATTAACGTCTAAGTTTTTTCAAGGAAAAGATATATAAATATAAAACCAAAGACTTTAAAAGTTCTATGATCTTAAATTTGGCGGGTAGTGTAAGCATGAACTCACAATAATTTTTTTCTTTTGAAAATATGTACAAGTTTCTCTGATACCCAAAAGAAAAGCATTCTTATGAAACCTTTCATAAGTCAAAATGCCGTAAAGCAATGAAGCAACTACTATTAGTTTATATAGAAAATTTTTTGAGCGTTCCCACACTCAAAATACAACCTGCAAATCACACCAAGCAGCCTGTGACGTTACCAACATGCAGTGAAAGCAGTGCCGCCTGCTGCTCCACGCCTGCTGCCTCTGTAACGACTCGCTGCAAAACAAACGCTGAGAGCTATTTTCACTTTTTGCCTTTTTCCATAAGAGTGAAATCCTCTTCAGAGTTTTCAGTTAACAAAAGCGTGTACTAAGTAAGGTAGGTCTTTTGTAAAAGTGAAGTGGCATAATGGGAACTTTGGAAAAGCAGGGGGAGTACATGTATGTTCTGTCCCACCCACTGAAAAGGCTGAGGAACGATGACAATCCAGTAACAATGAGCACCCCTGCCACCCAGGTTATTGTCTCTGAACCCATTCCTCACTAAAAGGAGTCCAAGCTCTGTAGAGAAACGGCTGCTCCCAAGTCTGGGATGGGAACTATTAGATGAGCCTGGAACATCTTACCACACCTTAACTACTGGGGATCACATCAAAAGGATGCAGGAACCACCTTGAAGAGGTTCCCACCACCCAAAGATAGGATAATTGGAGCATCAAGCTATGAAAATGACTACCATGGACTGAAATACATTAACTATATAAACATTTATTAATTCATATTGGTCATCTTTGGGCCAAAACTGGTAGAGGGAATAAATTAAACATATATTCTGCCTTCTCCTGTATAGACTGTATTTTACAGTCCCCAAATAGTCTGCAAGGGAAGTTCTTCATTATAGAGGAATCAGAGCTAATAAATGTGGGAAGAATAATGGAACTAGGAAACTACCATTTTTGCAACCTCTAATGAAATGATAGATCTAAGCAACAAATTAGTGTCAGTTGAAACGTTTAAGTGAGAGGTGGATGGAGAACTTCATAATAGAAGGGCAGGCTGAAGCCACCTTGGACCCACTGTTCAAGCTCAACCTCACTGCAAGTGGGAGCAGCGCACCCTGCTGTAATGCAATAGGAATTACACAGTGGTGCCTGTGATGTATTCTGATCAAAGAAATTGAAACTGAATCTTATCAAGCCTCTAGATCTAACTACTGGTTTACACAAACTGTGAGGGAGAAAGGAACATGTTAAATGACACCATGAGAATGAAAATAAGCCAAATCCAGAAGGCGCAACTTTTTAAAGGATAAATGATCCAGTTTCATCAGTAAGTAAGTGGCAGTGAAAGGAAGTATAGTGGACTGGAAGTGACTAAAAGGGATTTCAGATATGTGTTAACCAAGTGCAACATACAGGCCTTGTTTAGATCCTGTTTGAAGCAAACCAACTGTAAATAGAAATGTTTGGGGACAATCAGTGCAAATAAAACACAGTCTATAGAAGGTGATATTAAGGGAATGGTTGGTAATTCTGGGTGTGAAGATGGTATTGTAGTTATGTTGCTGGGGTTTGTTTTGTTTTTTTTCTTAAGCCCTATCCAAGATGTCTGCCGAAATATGTAGGGATAAACATGGTATATCTGGAATTTACTTCTAAATACTCCAGGTCTACCCAAAAAACTGAAATGGGGATGATTGATTAAGAATAACAGAAAGTTGCCCTGGCTGGCGTAACTCAGTGGATTGAGCGCCGCCTGGGAACCAAAGTGTCCCAGGTTCGATTCCCAGCCAGGGTACATTCCTGGGTTGCAGGCCATAACCCCCCAGCAACCGCACATTGATGTCTCTCTCTCTCTCTCTCTCTCTCTCTCTCTCTCTCTCTCTCTCTCTCTCTCTCTCTCCCCCTCTCTCTCTCCCTGCCTTCCCTCCCTAAAAATAAATAAATAAAATCTTAAAAAAAAAAGAATAACAGGAAGTTAATAACTGTAGAGCTGGATGATGACTGCAGGTAGATCTATTGTGCACAGTCCTTTTATGTGTATGTTCAGAATAAGGGGGAGGGGGTTGCTTGTTGGGTTCTTTTTTTTAAGTTCTCCTGCCAGACCAGGCCAGATCAGCTGAGATCAGCGCAGCAGTGCCTCCTCAGCAATGTCGTAGGTTTCAGGTGGGAGTCCTAGTGTGCAGGGACGTTATATTTGCAGAACTTGGGGAAGGAGAGTTTCTTGCTGTAGCTTAACCGTAACTATAGCTTTTCATCCAGTTATATTTGTCTTTTCATGCAGTTAAATTTTGTAAGGCAAAAATTACTTCATAGAAAGAAAGAGCACTGCTTAGGTATAGTGGCGTTAACAAGCTTATATGCCACCATACACTGACATTGTACTTTCTTTTTAGACCAAACCACCCTGGTAGAACAAGTAAAAAGAGTCAAAGAAATCGAAGCCATTGAAAGTGATTCTTTTGTTCAGCAGACATTCAGATCAAGTAAAGAAGTCAAAAAGGTAAGTTTTCATCCAGGCGTTATGAATAAGCCTTTAGATTCCAACTGAAGAGATGTTTTATTAATGGATTTCACTTAAATGTAAGTGCTTCTTCTAATAGATAGATGAAGTAGGGTGAGAGCATGTCAGCATGTTATTGAGAGAGAGAGAGAATGAACCAGTGAGAATCAGTTTAACTTTAACTTGTCAAAAATGTACTGTAGAAACATATCCGATGCCATTTTTATTCTAAAGTTCACTGCAGAGACAAAGTAAAATGTCAGCCCAGCAGTTCCGTAGCAGTCACACACATCTCATGGGCATACGTGCATGGTTTCCTGTTCGGGTGTACATGCCTCCTTTTTGAATCGACGTTGGTAGGGGAAAACTAGAAAAGGGCTCTAACAATAAAATTATAATCCAGATAGCATCATAACATATCTACACTCTTGCCCAGATGGGCATCTCTTACTCAACTCTAGCAAACGGGGCTTTCACTGGCATTTTTTTTTCTGTTGAATATTTTGTTTATTCTTTCAGTCATCATTGGGGTTGCTTTTTTTTTCCTTTTGTAGGAGAAGGCATTCTACATGAAAGACATGTAATTCTTAGTAACATACATATAACAAAGACATAATATAATTACAAATTATTCAAAAATATTTTATATCTATAAATCATAGAAAGTCATAAAATCAAGCTGGGAAGCCCGGAATTAGCTAGTTTTTAGGTTGGATAAGTATGACAGAAGCAAAAACTGCCTAGGAACATTAATTCAGCACCGTGAGTTGAGCCAGTTATAAATGTATTTAGTTAAAATATCTTACCAGCATTTTTGTTACCTCCCTCTAAAATCACAACCGAATTACAGAAACCTAGGGTTTAGCCATGAGGAAGCAGTGGTCAAGAGCAGGAAATGTAGAGGAAGACACGCTTGGAGCCACATTCTGATTCCACCATTTACTGGCTGTGCATCCTTAAACTATGTAACTTCATTAAACGCTGGCTTTTCTTAGTCACTGCATTTCACAATGATCAGAAGAGCAGTGATGGGCCAACAATGACTAAATCCACACTCCGCTGTAATATAAAACAGAGAGCCAATTTATTAGTTTAGAAAGTGATATCCTTTTTCAGTTTCTAAAATGTCTGTGTCTACAGTGTAAGGTAGGAATTCAGAATGCCCAAGAAGCTGAATTATTTATTAGGAGATTACTTAGCACAGGGAGGTAAATTATCTCGAAGACTGTTTCGTCCAGATCATGGGGAGACAGGATGGGCTATCCCTGACACATAGCAAAGACTCTCTTGAGGACTAAGTTACCCATGACCCAGACTTCAACATCTTCCTCTCCTGGAGAGCTCTGCATTCGTGGGTATAAAGTGTGTATCTTTGGTAAAGGCTTTTCTATACGAGCCACCCCTTCAGGTGGTAGACTCTTTATCTCTGTTAATTCCACTAATTAAGCTAGGGAGCTGTTACCAGAAAAGTGGCTATTACTAATGATATGCTAGACATTGTGTCGTGTGTGGCACGTATCGATTTAACTGGTTTCTCCCTCTGCAATCATATTTCTCTTGTGAGTAGATAATTGGATAGCTCCTGCCACAGCATCAACCTCAGGAACCGAGATGCAGCCGGTTTTCAACCTGCTGTCCCTAATAAGCTTATTTCCAATTATTCAGCCCTGAAATTGTTATATCTGGCAGATATCCACCCATGTTTAAAAAGAGGGCAATTTGTTCTTTAAGTTGGAAATACAGTTACAAAACAATTTTTTTCTAAACTGAACCAGCAGGTGGCTGTAATACCCAAAGCCTGATGCATGGTAGTGACCATGCTGAAGGGGTTTTAACAGTCAGATTTTCTCTAACAATTCTCCTCACTTAAAGAAGCAGTTAATGATTCTCCTCACACATTTTTAATTACACATTATTGAATAACTTCCACGCTCTGATTCAGACCTCTGAGAACTTCACTTATGTGTGCGTAAGAACTTCTCAAAGAAGTAGGGACTATAGGTAAAAATATAATGAGATTGCTTGGTTTTTATAATAAAATGTTATCCCTGCCATACATTTGGCAACTACAATAACAGCAGTCCACAATTTTTCAAGGCAGTTCTACACAGACAGCCAGTCTTCTAGCTAAGTCCTATCAGAACAGCTGAGACACGCAGAATGACGTGCTCTTATATTTTCTGCACAGCGCCAGGCTACCAAAAGATGCCCTGGACCCCACTGGCTTAAAATACTTCCCATTTTTCCCGTGCAGAAGATTGGGCTTTGCTGTTATATGTCCTCAGTTTTCTAAAGAGCCAGTATAATATCACTTACGGAAGGGCTGCGAGTCTTCCAGGCCCGTATGCTAGAGGCATAGACATGTTTGACACTTGGCACGGTGGGGTGGGGTGGGGTGGGGAGGGGGGCAGTATTACTCCAAAATATCAGAATAATGCTGCCAAGTCAAATTCAACAAATATTTCTTTAAATATTTTTATGTCACTTGTTACAACTTGTGATTCTGTATTTATTATGGTATTTATTTGTTAGCAATCTGTCGGTCCTATTAGCAAAAAAGCAAACTCCCATTGAAACAGGAAACACAACTATTTCATTCTGCCTTGTGTACCTAGTGCTTAGCAATTAGTAGTGCTCAGTAAACACTGATTAACTAGATGAATTTCTCTTTCTAAGGTAAGTTATTCTAAGAAAGGATGAACTCTTTCATGCATTTTTCACTTTCTATATTATTTTCTCGGAAATCTGTTTAGCACTTCATTCAGAGAAGTGAGTGTTCTGAAGTAGAATTCAAAAAGGAAATGGAAATTTAAAAATATTAGGTATAGAAAAAAGGCTAATATGTTGAATTAGTCTCCCAGTTGTCTTGCCTTTTTATTTTAATTTTTAATTTCAACTTCTCATCTAATCCATTTTATATTACCCCTGAAATTTTTCTGTTAATCAGCTACTTCCCTGGCTTTCTCCTTTCTTAGGGAAGGAAATATTGGAGTTAGCCCAGGTTAGCACATACTGCTGGCTCTTTCCGGAAGGGAACTAGGATTCACTAGTCCTTTTGTCCCCAGCACTTAACACGGTGCCTGGTACACATTATTCAGCAATAAAAAGAATGAAGTACTGATACATGACATAACATGGATGAACCTTGAAAACACGGTGCTAAATGAAAGAAGCCAGTCACAAAAAAACACATGTACTATACGGTTTCTCATATATGAGTGCCCAGAATAGACATCCACAGAGAGAGACAGCAGATTAGTGGTTGCCTAGGGTGGGAGGGTTGGGGAGAAGGGGGAGCAGTGGCTTCTAAGGGATGTGGAGGTGTTCGGAAGTTGCTTGTGGTCATGGTTACAAAACTATGACCAGGCTAAAAACTCCATAATTGTAATATGTGAATTAGATCTCAGGAAGACTGCTATTTAAAAAAAATAACCTATGAATTTGCCTTTTATACCTAAAGAGGCCACCTAAGTGCTAGAGATTTGTTGCAAGCTTGTTTTCTAATAGAATTTACATATATGAAGTATTTTTTCAATAGTATAGACTCATAAGTACCAATTTCTTAAGAAAATTATGCTGATCATAAGAAATGATACACATTTTCCCAGTGTTTTTTGGAGGGATTTTTTGCTTTTAGGAATAATTATTTCTTCTCTAGTAATCACGGGCTTTTTCATGATTAGTATCATCTCAAATGAGACTATTGTGCAATTGTTATTCAAAATCAGAAATACTATTAACATGAAATTCTGTTTCTTATGATGCAATCAATATGGATTTTGTGTTTCAGTCGGCAGAACCCAGTGAAGTGAAGCATGCGGCGGCAACATCAGGACCAGCATCGGTGGTTGCTGATCTGCCCAGTAGTGAAAAAGAAATAGACCCTAACAGCATCCCTACTGCCATCAAGTACCAAGACGACAATTCTCTGGCTCATCCAAATGTAAGATCCTTAATCCTTAACATTGCCAGTTGAAGTCTAGTTGACTGAAATTAATTCATACTATGGTCCTTTTGCATTGGTGACGAGAAGACCATTGAAGGAATTGGATTCATATGTTCTGATCTGCTAAAAAACAGGCAGATGAGCCAGAGGGCAGGGAGGAGAGGGAGAATGGTAGAAAGAAGGGGAAGGGACTAGTCAGAAAACATGTATGAATGACCCAGGGACATGGACAACTGTGTGAGGACTGACTGTGGGGGCGGGGTGGGGGCTGGGTGCAAGGGGGCAAAGGGGAAAAAATTGGGACACTGTAATATAGTAAACAATAATAAACAAATAGGCAGCTGACCCTCAGCCCTTAGAACTGTTGCATATATTTGAATATGGTATGTCCAACACATGTTGCCTGACTTTCAGAAGTAGTCTTTCTATGGTTAAGAAAAAGTGTCAAAAAGAAGAGTTTTGTTTTGTGTTTAATCTGCCACTGACAGATCTAATTCAGGCTCAGCTCTCGTTGACTCATTGACTACAAGCACGTCACCGACTTGTGTTGCGTCCTCTGTCAAACGGTGTCTTTTCACTGTGTCTCTCAGAAAGACTGTAGGAGATACACTTCACAAAATAAGGTATAAAGTTGTAAACCAATGATGCTGATATTAGTCCTTTTACTCCACAACTGCCTGATCATTATTAATTCCAAACAGATGATCTTTAATTAAGAAGTCATCAAGAGTTAAAACAGTACCCAAATCTCATACTGAAAGATTATTTTATAAAGGTAATTTGTGTCATATAAGGTCAAATCCAAGTTATTGGCAGACAGTAACATTTTTTCTTTCTTTTTTTTGTTTCAGCTATTTATTGAGAAAGCTGATGCTGAGGAAAAGTGGTTCAAGAGATTAATTGCTCTTCGACAAGAAAGGCTAATGGGCAGTCCCGTGGCCTAAATAATATATGCGGTTGAATTAACAGTACATTTAAAATTTAGGCTTTTAAATCCCAGTTTAACTTTTTATTCGTAAAAAGAATTGACCCAATTATATAAAAAGGTAATCTCATTTCATTCTTTTCTCGTGTGGGCTTAAATATTTGTTTATTTGAACTTAAACATTGTGAATATTAAAACTAGTATAAGACTGAGGAATGCATGAAATTATCCTACTGTTAATAAAGGCTAATCCAAAAAATATCAGTCTTAATAAATAGCACACAGTAGTGTTTCTAAGTACAATTTCTAAAATGTCAAGTTGTCATTTAAAGACATAGTTTTGATTAATCATGCATATATAAGAATCAAACTCTATGCTATAAATACGAGATTTCATCTTCCATGCATTATGAAAGCATTTTGAATCTTTTATTTTACCTTACTGGAAAATTTTAGGCCCAGTAAAAAACAGTCTTAACAATCTAAGCAGAATGAGCATGTTAATATTAAAAGAATAATATATTAATGAAAAACTTTGTAGGAAATCAAATACATTGATGATTTATGGCTTAGAGATTAGGTTTTACTAAGCACTTCCTTTCAACACGTTAGCAGAGCTCAGTCCATCCTTGTAGAAATCACAGGTCCCTGCTAGACCTGACCAGCTGCCGCACACCCGTGATAGGGAAGTCACGTCTGAGGAAGCAGGTAGAGTTCTCGCTTCAGGCTTACTGCACCGTCCACCGTCCCCGGGAGAGCAAGCCAGCCAGCCACCTGCAATTCTGCGAAGACTGTCTGTCACTGAAGAATGCCTTTCTCTAGGAGCTGAATGAAAATCAGCAGCGCACTCCATCCTGAACGTGCCAGAGATGAGGACTTTGAGGCCTTGTGCTACAAAACTACTTTTCACCAGCTGACCTAAACATTGCCCTTTCCTAGTTTGTTCTGTCGCCTGGGCTCACTCTAAGTCAGTCTCTGTGAGGACTGTCCCTCATCTCAGATCATGTTCATCTCAGAACATGAGATGAACATGAAGAGTTTGGGGGATAGGATGACCAATCTATAGGATACCTAATGATATCTTTTTTTCTATTTCTGAAACTATTCAAAGTCTAATTCCTGTTAAAAACGAAAACAATAAAGAGCTTACACTTAATTGCAAAAGGTATGGAAAAGAGACTGGTGATAACGTACAGGTTTTCACATTTTAAATAGACGCCAGTGCCCTTTTTTCCTTGACTGTAAGTGCCCAGTATGAACTCACGTTTGTATGGGTTTTAATCCAGATATATAAAATTTTAGTGACTTTTAAAAAGATTACAGTTTCTGAAATATTTTGCATTTCATTCTCTGCATAATTTGTGAACAGTAAAAGCACTGTCCCCTTCTGGAAAGTACATTTTAGTGGCAAGAATATGGGTTGTCACTGGTGCCCCGAGAGACTCTACGAAGAGACTGGACTGGACATTCTTCCTCGGTGCGGCCGATGTTCCTCACCCGTGCAGTGAGGGGAAATCCTGTGATCTGCCTTAATTATGAGTAGTGCCAGCGTTCTTCTGTGGCAAGTTGCCCAAAACACAGAGGCTCGAACTGCAGTAGATTTCTATTTTAAAGCTAAATTTTTTGTGAAGATAGAGAATCGGTTTTCTTTTTAATAACTAAACTGTAGTCCCTGCAGGACGTCTATGACTATTCTCCCTTCTTCCTGATTCCTTTCTAATATGATTCTTTCTATTGCATTATTAGCTGCATTTACCTACATTCCTGTTGAAGATGACAGTATTACCACACAAGCCAAATCAAATTTAATGAGGAAGACTTCATAGAACATTATCAAATATTTTACCCAACTCGGGCTCGGTGGTGCAGTATCCTAACATACCTCTAGTATCCTAACATAACGAGCCTGTAAAACAGAGCAATACCTTTCATGTCACTTGCATAATGACAGTAATTTGGATTTAAAGAGACCTCCAAGTGTTTTCTGAAATGTTGACTTTGTGTACAATGATGAATACTAATTATAGACAAGTTGGATTTTCATTCCTGAAGTGAGTCATTCTCAGGAAAAATGAGTAAGAACACTTTTTTTTTTTCTGGCTCTCCCTAGTTAAGGTGAGGGAAGTATGTAAGTATCGAGGGACAGAACATTTTGAGTCATTAACCTACTTCCCTTCCGCATCCCCACGTGTGGAATGAGGATACTGATTATGGACTTGCCTACTTTGACTTTTCAGTAAAATAACCTAAAAGAAAGCCCTTCACAGAAAAAGTTTACTATTTATGCCGGTGGGACATTTGGGTTTGGTAGCCATCTTAATGCGATATGAAGCAAACAGTTGCACAGAAAACGATTGAAAACGCTGTGCTCCGGCTGCAGCGCAGTGTGCTCGCTCCCTCTGCGTGTGTTTGAAGGGGGCCGGTAGGCCTCCTCCCGCGGTCCCCAGCTGCCCCTGATCCCCCTGCCTGCCCAGACCACAAGAAGCCCCATTTGGTCTGCAGTTACTGCTCCAGCTGACCTGAGGAGTCTCAGGTCTTCTTCGGTCAGATTTACCCACTTTTTTTTTTAAGATTTTATTTATTTATTTATTTTTAGAGAGGGAAGGAAGCGAAAAAGAGAGAGAAACATCAATGTGCCATTGCTGGGGCTCATGGGCCTGCAACCCAGGCATGTGCCCTGACTGGGAATCGAACCTGTGACACTTGGTTCGCAGCCTGCGCTCAATCCAGTGAGCTACACCAGCCAGGAGATTTACCCACTTTTTAAACTTTTTTTAAATACCTAGCTTGTTCTAGGCACAATAAGGGCAGTTGGGTATACCGAGGCTTCATTGTGAAGCCCCCAGCATATATGTGATGTAAGAAGGAAAATATTCAGTGGCAGAGGAGAGGGCATGATTGCAAAGAGGAAAGAAATTACTCCAAGTTACAAAATTGAGGTGAGCTCCATGGAGAAACCACAACTGAATGAAGACCTGAAAGGAAAAGGCGGCTCCTGGAACTACCAGCACTCACACCCAGCCATCTCATCTTTCCGATACCTGCTCTAGGCGGCTGGGAACTGTTGCAGCTCTAACCCAGGGAAGAGTCCCTTTCATAAGAGATCGGAGTGGCCCTTCCCTCTCAATCTTATTGAAAATCCAGAAAAAATTTTAGGTTCCCACTCTCTGGCATTCTCTGATCACTTCTTCCTTTCGGTGGAGAATCGGCTGAATAAGCTAGCCCTTTGTTTGGCCACTGGCATCAGCAGCTTTGGGTCACGACTGCTTGTCAGCCAAGATGACATGAGCCGAGCTGAGTGATGGTAGGTGCAAGGAGATTTGCAGTGCCTCGGAAAGGGTTACATCTGCCAGTAGGCCTTGCACAGCCACATGGACCACGGCATGTTCCCTGGCACTCCTTGTTTTCCTACTGTGTGTTACACAGATCATCAGTGGGGAGCTGAAGGACCCAGTTCTCTTACCTGTGCTGAGGTCCCTCTGTAAATGTCCTTTGGTTGGGCATCAATGAAAATCGTTAAGTGAGCAAATGAGATAGTAACAAAAGCTAAGAATGAAAGAACACATGGGAAATTTTTGGTCCCCAAACCATGGATGAACTGATCTAGAATTCTTATAACCATGTTACTCCTTTGTCCCCCCCATTTTCCAACCCCCATATTCCTGGTGAGTATTACAGAAGAGATTTTAAACCAACTCTTGGCCATTACTCAACTGATACAGTGCTTGAGTTGTCTAGCAAGTATCTAAATGCCATCTTTTAAATGTAAGCCTTACTCTTTGGAACTCCCTTGTGGAGTAAATGGAAAAACAAATCACCTTGATAAGAAATGTCTGAGTCTGCGCAGCAGAACAGGAATGAAAACGGAGGTCAGAAACTGAATTCTCAGGTCGTCTTCATCTTTCATCACGGGGATGGACATTGGTCAGTGTATTCAGCTCTTTTGGGTGGGTTTTTTCCTAAATCAAAGAAAACGTTCCGTCATAATATTTTTGTTATTTTTGCTATTCTTGTATCCCCAGAATCAAGCCCATGCCTGACACAAGGTTTTCAATAAATATTTTTCAGTGAAAGAAGAGTGGATTTCTTCATCTCAAATGGGCAGTCTGTTTAACAGTCTGGTTAAGTTATTTGGAGCCAGTGCAAAAATAAATAGGTGTCTGGGTATATGTATACCCACAATAATTGAAAGCAGGGTCTTGCAGAGATATTTCTACACCTAGGTCCAAAACAGCATTATCCATAGTAGCTAAAACATGGAAGCAACACAGATGTCCATGGCTGGATGAATGGATAAGTAAAATATGGCACATACGTACAATGAAATATTACTCAGCCTTATAGAGGAAGGAAATTATTCTACAATATGGACGAACCTTTAGGATATTATGCCAAGTGGAATAATCCAGTCACTAATTAAAGTAAGTGGTCAAAATCATAGAGACAGAAAGTAATAAATGAAGGTTGCCAGGGGCTGGGGGAGGAGAAGAGGGGGAGTTACTGTTTGGTGGGGACGGAGTTTCAGTTTTACAGGAGGAAAGAGTCATGGGCGGCTGGGGGTGCTGGCTGCACGACAGTGTGAGTATTTAATACACTGAACTGCACATTTAAAAACGGTCAAGATGGAAATTTTCATGTGTATTTTACCACAATAAACATGTAAAATCGCATACACATATATAAAATAAATAAATAGATGAGTTTTATAGCCCAGTCTGTTGGGGTTCCCTGATGTGTATCCCCAAACGTCCCTGAGCGGACAAAGACCTTCGGACGTCTTGGAGACGCACAGAGGACGGCGTGCCTTCTCCCTTGCGTTAGGGACTAACGACGGGGGCTAGACTCGGCTGGTGCGGCTCTTGCCAGACCTTCTTTCTGGCCTGATTTTCTCACTGCGTAAGTAATACTTCAGATGGCGTGGACGTGGTCGTTCAGGGCCCACCTACTGTCTCCTGTGGGAGGCGGTTCTCCCTTGCAAGCCATGGGTCCATTTTCAAGAAATAAAGGCTACCAATATTGTAAGACAACACTTGAAATGCAACAATGTGTACCGTTTTATTTTTAGGTCTTGAAAAGGAATGGCAAAATGATCCCGCTGCAGTTCTCAGAACGATGAACTGAACTGACCCCCTCTCATTAGCATCTCATAACACGGTGCTCAGGCTTCAGCCCCACCGTGTAAAAAACCTAGTGCGGTGCACCCAACCTTCATAATCACTTAAAATGAGCGGCTAAAATCCCTCGTCCTAAATAAAACCCAAAACGGCAGTCTGTCTACCTGTGTATGTTCCACAAAAATTGTCATAAACTTAAAACCAAATTGAAAACACATATATTTGAGAAATCCGTGTTTTCCAAATACCAGCACCACAGATCGAATGACTATATTAATGACTGGGTGAGTTTTTTAAAAAACAAATTCTGTAACTGGATTACTTATGTAGCCCCATTTTTCTCTTTCCTCTTCCTACTATGGTAAGTCTAATTGACCTGCAGAAGATAACTCATGGTAACTCATTTATTAATAGTTTGGGGAAAAATACTTTTTTTTTAAGATTTTATTTATTTTTAGGGAGGGAAGGGAGGGGGAGAGAGAGAGAGAGAAACATCAATGTGCGGTTGCTGGGGGTTATGGCCTGCAACCCAGGAATGTACCCTGGCTGGGAATCGAACCTGGGACACTTTGGTTCCCAGCCTGCGCTCAATCCACTGAGCTACGCCAGCCAGGGCGGAAAATACTTTTTTTTTTAAATGCTGTGTGTTTGAATCAGCTGCAACCTCATTATAGGAAGTAAAAATGGAAAGTCATACAAATTTATAATCTCTGATAAATATACTTATCTCTATGTTGAAATATTTCATTTAAAAAAATGTATACACCTACCATAGAGCATAATTAGCATCCCAAGCCATGTCACTTAATAGTTGTTCCACCAAAAGCACTTGAACCTTCAAGGAGAAAACCGTTTTCACATTAACACATGTTCTCCAATGACCACACCTTTCAAAGATCATGTGTGCTGTTTTCAGCAAAGGTGCTCAGAGACTTTTATTTCACTTGCTTTATAATTAATAAGAGAAGGTGACAAGTGATTGGTCAGTAGATTAGCATTCACCACAGCCTAGAAAAATACCAGAGACCCAGCTTCTATTTGGGGCCCTTA